GCTGAGGTGGGTGGGCGGGGAGTATCGCTCATTAACAGCCCAGCAGAAGAAGGTGTTAGTGAGTCTGGAGGTGTGGGACCTGACTGACCTGAGGCGTCGACCAGAGGGCAGTGGGTCAAACTGTACGTGGTGCACGGGGTCACCTATGATGGTCCTGGTTTTTCTGAGACAGGAGGATCTTGTAATGGGTAATGACAGAGGCGAGGCTGCCAGACACTGTTGGTGTTGTGGGTCCAGGTGAGATTGGTGGAGAGGTGGGTGCCCAGAAACCTGAAGCTGGAGACCAATTCTACCCATTCTCCATTTATAATCAGAGGGGAGTGGACCTGTCTGTGCCTCCTGAAGTCCATTATGAGTTCTTTTGTTTTAAGGATGTTAAGCATCAGGTTATTTTCTGAGCATCAGTGGTACAAGTTCTCTACCTCTGCCTTGTGCGCTGTCTCATCTCCATCAGAGAGGGTGGTGTCATTGGCATACTTGATGATGACGTTGGTTGGTTGGGTTGGTGTACAGGGCTGAGAACGTGGCCCTGCAGCATGGTGACAGAAGGGGGTAGGGTGGGGGCCAAGTGGGACTGACTGAGGCCAGTTGGTTAGGTAAGGCTTCTGACACCAATGCCAGCTGACATTATTTGCACTTCTTTGTTGTTCAGAATCTTATTTGTATTGTTAATTCTTGCTTTAATTTTTTTTTTACTTTATTCTGTTTTTATTTTTGTTTATTGGGTGCTTTAAAAAAATAAACTTAAAGGCAAGGAATGTCTACTCCATTTTCTTCAGATACAGAGAAATGTATTAATCAAAACTTTGCATATTTGTCATATGGTTTGATGTTTGTATGAAGGCAAGCCTGCCCTCTAGAGGCGGAGTTTAATCTAGCTGTCCTTAATGCAAGCTTTTAAACAAGAGAAGCTACAAATGCAACAAATGGTCAGCTTTAACTTTTAGAAATAGTTACTCGCTGTAACTGTAAAATAACAATTGGTACAAAGGGGACCCTCCGACTATCTGTTAAAAAGACTTTGAAGGGGAGTTGGGGGCATACGTCATCACTGCGCGACATCGCGTGCAGGACTGCGAAGGACGCAAAAGAGACGCTCGGGATGAAATAAGTTAAAATATAAAGGTTGGTCGAGTGCTACGGTTAGATTCGGTAATATCACACACTTGACCTCAGACTAGGGGTTAAATAAGATCTGTTCATTAAAACCGAAAAGAAACGTTACTGAGCCGATGGAGCCGTCTTTGTAGAGAGACGCTAAGCTAGCGGTGGTTCACGTTTGCTTGTCATTTGGTAACTGAAGATATGCTAAGCAGAGCTGAGGCACATATGCAACCACCGATAAAAGTCAGGCGTAGTTTTGAACTATCGATTATGTGACCGATTTGTGTCAGCTACAGTCGGGGCCGAAAGCAGGAGAAATGTTAGCACTTGCTTGATTTTAAACACAGTGTCTCCCTTCATCAGTCAGCAGGTCCTTGTTGTGATGGCGCTGTCGTGTCTAACTCGAGCCCTGCGCTCCCTGACTCTCTCCCAACCCGCCATGGTCTCCTCTCAGGTAAAAACGCCTCCTGCCTTGGTCCTGTCAGCCATATTTAGACAGTAAACATGACATCAGGAACAATCTGAGCGGCTCTTTTTGGTGTTGACAGGCAGCTGCATGGAGTAAGCTGGGAGCTCAGGTGCCCAGTAGTGCGGTGATCCAGTGCAGAGGCTTCCTCACCACAGCCTCTCTGGAGCAGAACAGGGTCAGATGGAAGCAGAGGGAGAAGTACACCATCAGGCCTATTGGAATGAAAAAGACAGGAGGCAGAGATCACACAGGTAAAGTGCAGTGGTAAAAAAAATAGCTGTATGTTCACAGGATGGTAAGAGGAAAAGTTTGATTTCCCCCTCTATTTGTTTTTTGAGATACAGCCACATAGGGGTTTGTTTCTCCTCTCCATAATGAACCAGGGATCTTTCCCTTGTTTTGCGAATATGTAAAGCACTACACTATGTAGCCACTGTGTTTAAAACACAAAGTCAGAGTTTATGGTAGCATTTATGGTAGCATATAAATGCTGATGTACAGCTTTTAAATGCTGCACATCTAGTTTATCAATGAGGACAGAGAAAGCTTTTTATGGTGAAATGGCCCCTTAATGCCTGCTCCCTCTATACCCAGACATCGGTGGATGCAAGGGGGGTTCACACTCAGAGTGGAGTGAAAGTCACGTGAATTCAGACTGAGGTCCCACTGCAAAAAAACAGAATGTACCAAAGAGACCTGTCTTCAAAAGAACAGATTAGATTCAACAGATTTTATTTTTTGTAGCTACAGGAAAGGTTTTGTTACATTTTGTAAAACACATTTTAATAGAAACCTGCCTGGTGCTATAGTTAAAGTATGAAATTGTGCTCAAGGTAAAAGTTTGAACTCCTGTGTAGCCTCAGAATTCAAGGCTTGTGGCTTTCTTTCAAGCGTTTGCCGCCCTACTTCCTTCTACAGGAAGAATACGTACACATGGCATTGGCGGTGGTCATAAACAAAGATACCGGTGGGTAGACTTCCATCGTCTACGGTATGAAGCCAACAGAGAGGGCCAGCCTTTTGAGGAGAAGGTTGTTGAAGTGCGATACGACCCGTGCAGGTGAGACCACTTACTGCCCGGATGCGTACTAATGTGTACGCTCAAAGTACTGAAAACACTAAGCCGGGTTTGTCTGCGTGCAGGTCTGCTGATATCGCCCTGGTAGCTGGAGGTGAGCGAAAAAGATGGATCATTGCAACAGAGAACATGCAGGCTGGAGACATCATTAAAACATCTGGGTTTATTGGACGCATGGCAGGTACAGGATCCAAGTTTTTCAGTTGGAGGTTCGTCGGCCTTCGTAACCTGTATATCTAATGAGAATTGTTTAATTTTGCAGTTTCGGCCAATGAGGGAGATGCTTACCCGCTGGGGGCTCTTCCTGTGGGGACGCTGGTGAACAACCTGGAGGTACGACCTGGGAAGGGATCAGAGTATATCCGGGCTGCAGGTAACCTACTGTACTGTATCCCTCATTATATAAGCTGCTGGAAGGCGAGGTTGCTCAGAAAAGCTACTAAAGCGAATGCTGCGTTTCATTTGGTTTTCAGGCACGAGTGGCGTTTTGCTTCGTAAAGTAAATGGAACGGCAATCGTTCAGCTTCCTTCAAAGCAGCAGGTTCAGGTGAGGTCATCTGGAATAGGATTACAGCCGCTGTTAAAGACGCGTTCAGTTTGGCTAAATGCTGTCTCGTAAACACACACAGGTGCTGGAGACTTGCATGGTCACAGTGGGACGCATCTCCAACGTCGACCACAATAAACGGATCATCGGCAAAGCCGGGCGCAATCGTTGGCTGGGCATCCGCCCTTCCAGCGGCTTGTGGCAGAGGAAGGGAGGCTGGGCAGGGCGCAAGATTAAACCGCTGCCTCCGATGAAGGTCTACATCAACCTGCCCTCAGTCTCAGCGAGCTAACACGGCACATGTTGGACATGTTTAGCGGATTGTAGATTTTTTTCTTTGATCCCTTGGGATGAAATCTAACATTGTTCTGGGAAATAAATCGAAATAAAGACGAGCCGTTTGTACAGAAGATTAAAAATTTTTATTAAACACAACTGCTTGTGAGAGCATGGAAAGAAACAATATAAAAATCCAAAACATATTTACATCTATAGTAAAACATGCAGAAGTAACCCATATTTTTATTTTTTTTTAGATTTTTTTTTTAGTGGTAAATTTAAAAATACTGTCATGTCATTTAAAATAGGGTTTGTGCAAAGACACTGGGTGGCATTTCAAGTAACCGGAGCAATGAGATGGCATGATGTAACTTTAGTTAGACCAGGAATAAAAGGATCAACGCTGATGATGCGTTCTTTTATGTTTGCGGTGCTAAATCACGGTGGCAAAGTGAGCATGCCTGCTCATTGATCCAGCCTTGTTTAATGCCCCCATGCTACCTCTGGATTTTGGGCAAAAAAAAAAAAGAAGTCTTGAGGTTACATACATTGAAATACACTTGTTATTTAGTATATGAAAAGCTAACCCGCATGACAAATTCCCCTCACATAACTCTGCCGTTGTTAATACTTAATGCTGAAATATTTAAGGTTCAGTTTGCG